TTTCTTCATTGATCCATTTGTTGTTCAGAAGCATGTTGCTTAATTTCTATGAGTTTGTGATATTTTTGAGGTTCTTTTTGTTATTGATTTCTAGTTTTATTCCATTGTGATCAGAAGAAATACTTGATATGATTTCTACTTTGTTCAGACTTGTTTTGTGGTCTAAGGTAGGGTCTATCCTGGAGAATATTTGATGTGCTGATGAAAATAATGTATATTCTACAGCAGTTAGGGGAAATGTTCTGTAAATGACAGTTAAGCCTATTAGGTCGAGAGTGTAGTTTAACTCTGATGGTTCCTTTTTGACTTTCTTTCTGGATGATCTGTGCATTACTGAGAGCGGGTGTTGAAGTACCCTACTATTATTGTAATGCCATCGATCTCTCCCTTTAGATCTATTACTGTGTGCTTTACATACTTGGGAGTTCTGGTGTTGGATGCATAGATATTTATAATCATTATATCTTCTTGCTGAATTGACTTCTTTATCATTATGTATTTACCGTCTCTGTCTCTTTTTGTAGGTTTTGATTTGTAATCTATTCTAGATGATATAAGAATAGCTGTTTTGCTTTTTTTAAAATTTATTTCTAGTTGCATGGACTATTTTTTTCCATACCTTCACTTTCAGTCTGTGTGTGCCTTGATAGATGAAGTGGATTTCTTCAGGCAACATATAGTTGGTTTGAGACCAGCCTGGGCAACATGGTGAAATGCTATATCTACAAAAAGTACAAAAATTATCTGGACATGGTGATGTACACCCACAGTCCCAGGTACATGGGAGACTGCGGTGGGTCGATCACCTGAGCCTGGGAGGTTGAGGTTGCAGTGAGCCGTGATCACACCATTGCACTCCAGACCGGGTAATAGAGTGAGACCCTGTCTCAGAACCAACCAACCAACCAACCAACCAACCAACCAACCAACCAAAAAGCCCAATCATATAGCTGGGTCTTGTTTCTTTATTCATTCATCCACTCTATGCCTTGTAATTGGAGTGTTGAGTCCATTTACATTCAGTGTTAATACTGGTACGTAAGGACTCGCTCCTGCCATTTTGCTGCTTGTTGTCTGGTTATTCTGTAGCTCCTCCTTCCTTTCTTCCTTTCTCACGGTCTTCCTTTTTAGTTAAATGATTTTCGCTGATAGGATGTTTTAATTTGTTATTTATTTTTAGTGAATCTATTACAGGTTTTTACATTATGGTTTTCATGAGGCTTACACAAAACGTGTTACAGGTATAACAAGTTATTTTAAAGAGTGACAAGTTATCTGAAATCACAAGGAAAATAATAGAAACAAAAATGAAAAGGTCTGCACTTTAAGTCTACCTTCTCCCCATCTGGCTTTTAGTTGTCTCAACTTATATATTTTTACATTGCTTATCTCTTCACAGGTTGCTGTAGCTATTGTTGTTTTTGATTGATTTGTCTTTTGAGATTCATACTAGAGTTATGAGTGGATTTCACATAATAATTACAGTATTCGAGTTCTGGGTTTGTCCATGTACTTATTCTTACAAGTGGGTTTTATACCTTCATTTCTTTTCCCATTAGTGGTTTCTTTTTTTCTTTCAAATTGAGAAACTCTCTTTAGCATTTCTTGTAAGACTGGGTTGGTGCTAGGGAATTCTCTCAGCTTCTGTTTGGGAAAAACTTTATCTTCATCTCTCCTTCATACTTGAAGGATAACTTTGCTATATAGAGTATTCTTGGGTGGAAGTTTTTTGTCTTTCAGCACTTTGAAAATGTCATTGCACTCCGTCTAGGCCTGTATGGTTCCATGGAGAATGTTATTGACAGATGAATTGGAACTCCTTTATATATTATTTGCTTCTTTCCTCTTGCTGGTATTAGAATTCTCTTTGTCTTTGAAATTTGAGATTTTGATTATTGTATTATTATTATTTGATTATTGATTATTATTATTGCCTTGGGGAAATCTTATTTGGGTTACATCTGTTTGGTGTTCTCTGACCTTCCTGCAACTGAATATTTATATCTTTCTCAAGATGTGGACATTTTTCTGTTATTATTTATTTGACCAAGTTTCCACCCCTTGTTCCTGCTCAACTCCCTCTTAAATACCAATAATTCTTAGAATTTGGTCTTTTATTTAATTTGCTACATCTTGTAGGAGATCTTTGTTTATTTTTATTCTGTTTTCTCCTCTGTGTATTTTCAAATAGTCTCTCTTCCAGTTTACTGATTCTTTCCTCTGCTTAATCCATTCTGCTATCAAGAGACTATTTTTTAGTTTAGCAAATATGTTCCTCAGTTCCAAGATTTCTGTGTTTTTTCTTAAATTTTTTTTATTTCAATCTCTGTTAAATTTCTCTGATAATTTTTTGAATTTCTTTTCTGTATTATCTTGGTGATGACTGAATTTCCTTGAAACTACTCTTGAATTTTTCGTCAGAAAGCTGCCATATGGATCTCTCATTAGGGTAAGTTTTTGTTTCTTTCGTTTTGTTTTGTTCATTTGGGGAGATCATGGTTCCTTGCTTACTGTTTTTGTGGGTGAACATCTACATCTTTGCATTGAAGCATTTGTTATTTACTCCAGTTTTCTCTGCCCTGCTTTATTTTGTTTTTATTGAATATTTATTCCAGTTTTCTCTGTCCTGCTTTATTTTGTTTTTATTGAATATGTTTGCTTAGAGGTTCCTTACCACCAAACTACTTACTGCCTCCTTTTTGGATTCAAGAAGGACTTTGAACCCAGTTTTGCCTCAGCTGTAGCAAAGGATCAGAATACTCCTGTTCCTGGATGGGGGAGGTCCCAAAAGGGATATCCCAGCAGTGTGAGAAGGCTGGTTTAGGGGTTTGCACCAGGAGGCTGTCGGAACAACTTCCTACAGGCTAGTGCTGCTGAACATCCACTCTGGTTTGGCATCTCCTGTGGCTCAATGACAGAGCAGTTTCCAGGGCTGAGTGTGGAAATCATGCTCATCTCCTTTGTCTCTGGCTGTCCTCAGGGATGTTTCTCCCTCCAGGCACTCATGATACTTCCTGTGGCTAAGAGAGGGACAGATCTCCTGCCAGGGAATCTAAGATGGTGGGGAAGCTATTTGTCTACATCAGTTTCACCTTTTCCAATGTAGAAACAGTGAGATGGGGGAAATTGTTTCATGTGCTTGGTACTAGGCAGAATAGGAAGAAGGGTGTCAAGGATGTGGAAGTCCAATTCTCTTACCATTTGCTCACAGTTTTTTCATTTCTCTGTGGCTGCAGAAACGGTTCTTTGTATTTGATTTCTGGGATATTTCTGGTGATAATCTCTGCACCATATGTTTGTTTTAGGCTTTCTGTGTTTGGGGAGGAGTGAATCCAGCTTGTTTCTATGTATGCTACCATCTTGGAACTGGAAGTCTTCTATGTAGGTTCTTTAAACTTTTCCTCCAGGGATAGCAAATGCACTCTAACTATTGTCTCAGCTTCTAAAATTTGGCAGTACTGCCTGGACTCCTCTGGTGAGAAGAAATGTCACAATTGATTAACAATGTCTGCCATGAGGGTGAGTGGGGCAGGCAGTGGTATGTGTGCTGAGGATTTGCCATCTGGGCCCAACTGCGTCAGAATCAAGACTGATCCTGTCAATTTAATCAAATGCCTTTCAAATCCAAGAACAGGCCTTATGAGACAATACTGAGATAATGAGACTGAATTTCAAAAAGCGTGCCTGATCTTTGGGGGAAATTAAATGAGGATAGTTCCTTTATACAGGCTGCTCTGGAAGGCTTTGCACTTGTTCCAGTGAGGCTAGCTTTGCTTGGACATTTTTAGAGTGCTCTTTTAGGATTGCTGGTTAATAATTGACCACAAAGCACATAATTTTCAATCATTTATGGGCTCATCTCACGTTTAGCTTCAAACGCCATTACTCTGCCTTACCATTTGCTGTTGTTCTCTGGGCTTGAGCCCATTTAACTTTTGGTTAGGCGACCTGTCCTAATAAAATGAAGATGTATCTCCTCTGGAAGTGCCAAGAACAGCTTGCAGTCTCTGCAGGTCATACGGAGATGGAAATTCCCAACATCTAAGCACAGGTGGCATCATTACAAGAGTGAGTGCCTTCCCAAGAAGTACTGGTAAGGGGGAGACTCTTCGGTGTTGAACTGTGGTTGTTGCTTGGAAGCCAGTTCTGTTACTCCGAATCTGTGCCTGGGCCACCACTAAAGAGCCACACATCACCCACGCCTGGCACTCCTCTTGCTGACCATTGGATATTGCTGACGTCATTTTCATGGACACTGATTTTGTCTTCTTACTGTTTGCTCCACAGGAGCCAGGTGAATGCACCGGTCCTGCCTCCCCCGCTTCCCGACTCTGTGCCCGTGAGCCTGGGGTCTCTGTCAGCGACTGGTGGCTCCTTATTCTACCTGAGGCCAGACTTCACTCCTGGAACTGAGGCTGCAGGTTTTCTCTGGAGGATCCCAACCCTTGTTCCTCAGCTCCAGCCCTGGGGCATCATCTGTGCTCAGGCAGTGGTCCCAGGTTAGAGACCTGGTTTCCCTAGGCCTGGCCCCACCAGAGGAACCCCGGCAGCTGCTTCCAGTGGCCTGGGCTGCAAATCATCAATAACTATTTGTTCAAACTACTAACATCTTGGCTCATGGAAAATACCTAAGGGATCTAATGGAAGATTTTCTTCCTGGGCTGGTTCCATCTGCCAGGGCCCTGGGGTTTTCTTCAGCTGGTTCTGATTCCTGGAAACCGGCGAAAGGAATATTTCCAGGCACTTTTGGAAGGAGCCCCAGCTGTGGAAACCTGCCCTGAACAGCCAGACCACCAGTGAGGCCTCATCTGGCCAGCAATCCCGGTGGGGCAAAGGGCCTAGTGGTGGTACCCCTGAGGTGTGCCCCGGGGCAGGACAGAGCAGGGCAATAGATTATTACTGAGGCCAGGCTCAATTCTCCTTTTAATTTTTTCCCCTGGAAAGAAAAATCTCTTTCTTTGAATTTGGAAGGCTTAGCTTTAACCTTACGTTCCACTTTTAGCTAATGACGTGGTACACCTCGCAAGAAACGGAAGTTCCTGTGACTTCTTCAGCATCTGAGTATGTGAGAGCTGGATTTTTAAAGGAAATTTGTAAATGACTTTTATTGTTAATTGAAATTTCATTCACAGATGTTCTTCTTTTTTCTTTCTGCTCCTGTTTGTCACACAGACACACACCACAAGACCATGGCTACTACCCCAAACCTGCTTTGCCTGGAGCATCTCAAAGCAGCCGCTGGCCCTTGCAAAGCCTTTCCTGTGTGACAGCTGCGACCAGACACGCTCCCGTGAGCCTGCCTCAGACGTACTCATTGACTCCTCAGGATCGTCCCATGAGGTAAGCAGCTTTAGCATTCCTATTTTACAGATGGGAAAACTGAGGCACACACCAGCTGTCACCTTTCCAGGCTGCCTGGGGCCAGAGTCCAAGCCCTGACCACTGCACCAGTGACCTCAGGTGGGTCCTGCATCCCCGTGGCCTCTGCACACGCTTCGTCTCTTTGCTCCACAGCCTTCTCTCGGCCTCTCGGGGCCCCAACTGTCTGTTTCTGTCTTCCTTCTGCAGCTGGAAATGGCCATTGTTTCACACGTGCCGGGCTCTGGTGCTGTGTATTTAGAAGCCCTTAATGAATGGGTACCTCTGTTCCTAATCCATTCCAGAAGATAACATGTACATGCTTTTCTGGTAGAGCAGAAAGAATTATTTCGTGGTCAGAAACGTTTGACATGGAGTTGACTTTCAGAGCTTGAGAAATAGACAATGGAAGGAAGCAGGTTTAACGAAACGGCCTTTTAGAACACAGGGTTCGGTGTGGTGCTGAAATCTGATGCCGAGACCAAGCTCAGATGAGGGCAGTCGACCTGCCGCTGCGTTCTGCTAGCATTTAAGCCACAGGGACAGGAGTTCTGCCTGTTCCTGCTGCGTGGACCCAGAACTGTGCCCGACACATCTTCCTGATCACCTGCGATGGGCTGGGCACCAAGCTGGACAGTGGAAGTGTGGCCAGTGAGAGTGCTGGGCTCCTGCACTCAGAGGGTCAGACAGAAGGGAGAAGTGTCCGTTCGGGTCTGGACCTCAGACTTTGGGTAACTGTTAGAGTTCAGGGAGGATTTTTAAAATGAGTGCGGTTTCTGCTGAGCTGAGGCCACATCTCCTCTAAGCGTCCCTCAAAGGCTAGGGCTGCAAGGTCTGAGTGGAGCTATCAGGCTTGGAGGTCACTTGCCCCACTTCGGCCTCAGGGGCCCTTCGTTCATCCGGCTGCTGGTTCCACCTAGGAGTGGGGCACATTTCAGGAATGAACCCCAAAAGGCCTAGAAACAATGTGTTTGATAACTTGTTTCTTTTCACATTTGTTTAGAGAACAAGAGGCTAATTACCACAGTAACATAAAGGCCAATTAACTGTCCACATAATCGGGGTCACCAGGAGCTTCCCCTCCTTCCTCCTGCCTGTGGACAGGCACCTCGTGGGCAGACAGGACTGGAAGCATTCATCTGACTCACTGTGCCAGGAGAGCTGTGGACAGCATTGCCTTTGCTGTATCTTCTAATGAAGCCTTTTGTTTTACGGTAGCTGCTGGAAAGAAAGCGGAGGACAGAAACGCTTCTCGCTCTCTCCTTAGTGGATGTCTGCCACTGCTGAGACTCCATTTGGATCAAAGCTAGTTTTATGTGAGGTCTCTCTCTGATCATTTCATCTGTGCAGTCAAATCCCACCTTTCCACAAAGGCGCCTTCCCAACCCCGGTCCTTTCTGATGTGTGCAGCCAGTCCTCAGAAAGCATCTAAGGCTTTCAGCTGCATTGAGGCTGCCTGTGTCCAGCCTGAGCCCAGCACCTGGCACCCAGCAGGTGCTCTGTAAGTCTCTGCCGATGGAGGAAGGCAGGAGGAGGCTTGGCTTCCACTGTGTATCTTGCCACATTCAGGAGAGAGGAGCATTTTCCTGTCTTAGGTCATGCTGAAGTCCCTCTGGCTTGAGAGGCTGGCGCCCAGGCCTGTCGTCATCTCTGCCCACCTTCTTTTTCCAGATAAGTCAAACACTATGAGTTGGTGAGGTGACTTGAGCGTCCTCTGGGTTATCAGGGCATAAAGATGAGACCTCTCAGAGAACCGAAGTTGTGATTGGCCTCCCTGCAGACAAAGGCTGGCTTTCAGGCAGGTTGAGGGGGACTTGGTCACCATACCTGACTTCACAGCACCATACCCCTCACCACACAACACCACACATTACTGCATACCATATTGCTACTACAAAACACCACACCCCGTATCACCTCACAACACGACACCCTCACCACACAACCCAACTCACCACACAAACCATACCCCCACCTCACAAAACCATACCCCACATCTCATAATACCACACTACAGTGCACAACATCACATCATACTGCACAATACCTCAACTTACAACACCACAGCTCATCACACACTATCACACCTCACCTCACAATACCAAATCTTTCTTCGTAAAATACCACACCACACAGTACCACACAGCACCATTTCACACTCACCCACCCCCTCCAACTCAATTTCAACCCAGTAGTACCCTACCTGTGAATAAATACTGGGCCCACCAGGGTTCCCCAGAAGGCAGTTATGACAATCTACCCAGCTGGAGGAAGAAACAAATGTTTGTTTGGACAATTTGCATCTGCTCCTTCATACTACTTCTTCAAACCGGATAAAAGAGAACTCTGTGTAATATACACAGAAACTTCTGTTACTGGCAGAATCTTAAAATATTTATACAGCATACAAACAATGCCAAGGAACTTCCTGCAAGCTATATATTGCCTTCATAAACACAAGGCCATTATGTATTTGTCTTAATTATACACAACAAGTTATTGATTGCAGTAGAGTAAAATCTGAAGGCAGAAATCTCAAGATCAACACTTCTATATACACTGTGCTGCTGCAAATGGCTACTGTGATAAGCTAGGAGCTCAACGCATGGCACTGTTAATCCCAGAGGCTGAAGATGCATGACCTTCGGCAACCTGGGGCCTCTCTGTGTGGCTGGAGAGGGAGTTAGCTCAGCCTGGTGTGATGGGTGTGTCCCACTGTCCACACAGCAGGATGTTCATTTGGTGGACCATGGTGCCGGGAGACCCTGAAGCACCTGGGTAAGCTGCCGTGTCCCTGGCCTTGGTCACTTCCCATGTGCTAGTGAGTGATGTTCAGGTTTTGTATTAGGGTTCACTAGAGGGACAGTAGTCATGGAACACACACACACACACACACACACACACACACACATAAATGGGAGTTATTAAGTATTAACTCACATGTTCTTAAGATCCCACAATAGGCTGTCTGCAGGCTGAGGAGCACGGAGAGCCAGTCTGAGTTCCAAAACTGAAGAACTTGGAGTTCAGTGTTCAAGGGCAGGAAGCATCAGCATGAGCGGAAGATGTAGGCTGGGAGGCTAGGCCAGTCTCTCTCTTTTCACATTTTTCTGCCTGCCTGCTTTATAGTCTAACCTCACTGGCAGCTGATTAGATGGTGCCCACCCGGATTGAGGGTGGGTTTGCCTTTCCCAGCCCACTAACTCAAATATTAATCTCCTTTGGCAACACCCTCACAGAGACATCCAGGATGGATACTTTGTATCTTTAATCTAATCAAGTTGACACTCAACGTTAACCACCTCCGGTTCCTCACAGGAAGGAGAATGAAGGGGAGAACCGGTATTCCTTGCCCTTCCTCTCTCTGCTCTGCACCCACTTCGGGCCAGCACTGTGTCCCTCAGTACCATTTCTACTTCAGATTCCGGTATCTTTAAACATAAAAAGAAAGCAAATGGGGCTTCTTCCCACAAAATGTCCATTTCTGAGGTAAATGTTTTATTTTAATGTCATTTATCTCTAGGAATAAAGGATAATCCCCAACCAGCCAAGTGGATAAAAACAAAAAATTCTCCATCTTGGTCCATTGGTACTGCTGTAGCAGAATACTGGGGCTGAGTAATTTATAATGTATAGAAATGGATTTGACTTGTGGTTCTGGAGGCTGGGAAGTCCAGGAGCATGGTGCCAGCATCTGGTGAGGGCCTTTGTGCTGTGTCATCCCACGGTGGAAAGCAGAATGGAAAAAGAGGGCAACGGCGAGAGAGGGCGGGTAGGGGGCCGAACTTATCCCACAATTAGACATTAATCTCTTCATGAAGACAGAGCCTTCATGGCCTAAACACCTCCCACGAAGCTGCCTTCCAACACTGTTGCACTGGGAATTAAGTTTCCAGCACATGAACTTTGAGGGACACGTTGAAACCAAAGCACCTTCCTAGTGTCGAGTCCAACTTATTAAATGGTCTTTCGTATGTATGCTACATGTCATTTATAGGCTCCTAGATTCTGGACAACAGGGTCCTTATGTTGCCTTATTTTTGTAGTATTAGTAGAGATGGGTTTTCACCATGTTAGCCAGCCTGGCCTCGAACTCCTGACTTGAGGCCATCCTCCTGCCTCGGCCTCCCTAAGTGCTGGGATTACAGGCATGAGCCACCATGCCCAGCCACTTGCTTTGGATTTTTTTTTTCCAGAAAGAAATAAAGAATAATAAGAAAAAAATAAAGAAGAGGAAGAAAGAGAAAGAGGAAGAGGGAGAGAGAATGGGGGTATTGCTTTATTGCCCGGGCTAGAATGCAGTCTAAATATGGTTATACCTATAATTGTCCTTAATAATGGAGACATGAAAGAAAATGAGGGAAGAGAATAACAAACAAGGAGCCAACCAACATTTCGTTTAAACTTCTAAGTTGATATGATGTGGTACTGATAAGAGTGTATATTTTGTGTATTTAAAGTGGAGAGTTCTATAAATGCTAATTGCATTTACTTGTTCCAGATCTGAGTTCAAGTCCTGGATATCGTTAATTTTCTGTCTCACTGATCTGTCTAATATTAATGTTGAAGTCTCCCACTATTATTGTGTGGGAGTCTAAGTCTCTTTATTAGTCTTGTATGTCTGGGTATTCCTGTATTGGGTGCGTATATATTTAGGATCTTTAGCTCTTCTTGTTGCATTGATCCTTTTATCATTATATAATGTCCTTCTTTGCTTCTTTTGATCTTTGTTGCTTTAACGACTATTTTATCAGAGGCAAAAATTGTAACTTTTGCTTTTTATTTTTTTATTTTAGCTCTCTCTTTGGTTGGTAAATCTTTCTTCCTCCCTTGTTTTGAGTCTTTGTGTATCCTTGAATGTGAGATGGGTCTGGATGCAGCATACTGATGGGTTTTAGTTTTTTATCCAAATTGCCTGTCTATCTTTGGATTGGGGGATTTAGTCAATTTAAATTTAGAATTAATAATGATATATGTGAGTTTAATACTGCCATTTAATATTAGCTGGCTATTTTGCCCATAGGTTGACGTAAATTCTTCATTATATTGATGCTCTTTACTTTTTGGTATTTTTTAGAAAGGCTGATACTATTTGTCCCTTTCTATGTGTAGTGGTTCTTTCAGAAGCTCTTGTAAAGCAGGCCTGGTGGTGATGAAATCTCTGAGTGCTTGCTTGTTCACAAAAAACTTTATTTTTCCTTCACTTATGAAGCTTAGTTTGGCTGGATGTGAAATTCTTGGTTGAAAGTTCTTTTCTTTAAGGATGTTGAATATTGGCCCCCACTTTCTTCTGGCTTGTAGGGTTTCTGCTGAGAGATCTGCTGTAAGTCTGATAGGCTTCCCTTTATGGGTAACCTGACCTTTCTCTCTGGCTGCCCTTAGTATTTTCTCCTTCATTTCAATTCTGGTGAATCTGACGATTATGTGCCTTGGAGTTGCTGTTCTTGAGGAATATCTCTGTGGTGTTCTCTGTATTACCTGGAGTTGACTATTATCCTGCCTTACTAGGTTGGGAAAATTTTCCTGAATAATATCCTGAAGCATATTTTCCAGCTTGGATTCATTCTCTTCATCACATTCAGGTACACCTATCAAGCGTAGATTAGGTCTTTTCACATAGTCCCATATTTCTTGGAGACTTTGCTCGTTCCTTTTTATCCTTTTTTCTCTAATCTTGTCTTCTTGTTTTATTTCATTGAGTTGGTCTTCGACCTCTGATATCCTTTCTTCTGCTTGATCAATTTGGCTGATAAAACTTGTGCATACTTCATGTAGTTCTCATATTGTGTTTTTCAGCTCCATTAATTCACTTACTTTCCTCTCTAACTTGTGTATTCTTGTTAACATTTCGTCAAACCTTTTTTCAAAGTTCTTAGTTTCTTTGGATTGGGTTAGAACAAGTTCTTTTAATTCACAGAAGTTTCTCATTATCCACATTTTGAAGCCTGCTTCTGTAATTGGAACACACTCGTTCTCCATCAAGCCTTGTTCCGTTGCTGATGAGGAACTGTGATCCCCTGCTGAGGGAGAGGCGTTCTGATCTTGGGTATTCTCAGCCTTTTTTTGGCTGTTTTCTTCCCTTCGTTGTAGATTTATCCATCTGTGGTCTTTATAATTACCGTCTTTGTAAATGGGTTTCTGAGTGGACGTCCGACTTATTGATTCTCAGCGCCGAAATCTGAGCAACCCACTGCGCCGGTTAAATCAGTGGCGTTAACATTGATGGTGCTTTTCTGACTCTGCACCAAGAACCGATGCTCCGAGGCGCCGGCAAAACCGCCTCCCCGGTCACAAGAGTCGCGCTGGCGACCCGTGGGGCTCCTCCGCTGGGAATCTCCTGGTGCGTGAGCAACAAGAATTCATCTGAAAGTGTGGTGTCCTCTCGTTCTTTGCGCTTTCACTGGGAGCTACAATCCCGAGCTGCTAGTGATCAGCCATCTTGGATCTCTCTCCCTATTAATTTTCAAAGTAAGGCTCAGACACATCGTAAGACACATAGTAAGGCTCTAGAATCATACAATAGATTCTAGAGGAAAATGAATTGACTGTGATAGAATGTCTTAGTCAGTAACTGAGAGGCAGGAGGGCATACATACCTGTGGATGAGTCTAGTTCAACATTGTCCATGTGACAGCTGGCCGCTCTCTTATCATGCTCCTTGAGCATGAGAACTTTGGCAAAGGAGCCATGCTGACACTCCAGCTGGGTGGAAAAAGGACTGCATGGCCAGCCAGGAGAAGCAGCGTGCAGGGGAGGCCCGGCGTGGTCCTGCTGCCAGGGGCTGGGGTCCTTCAGTCTCACTGAGGTCTTTCAGTGAAGCCCTGAAGCAGCACTGCTCCAGAACTCGTGTCCACATCCCTGCCCTTCATCTGGCTGTGGGTGCCTCGACAGGCAGGCTGTGCACACCTCTTCCCAACTTCAGTTTGCAGACGTCAGGTTGGTGGCTTGAAATCAGCCGTGATGGGATCATGTTCACCATGGAAATTGGCAAATGCTACAAATCAGGACTCTATTCTTTTCAGAGAACAGGTTGTTGAAAATTCACTAGCTCACCACGGAATCCGGTCATCTATCTCTCTCACTGTTCAACGATTTCACCATCTGACCATCTACTTAACCTCAACCATTAAGGCAAGACGAATCCATTTGAAAATAACCAGGTCAACCAAGGTATCAGATGTAAATGACTTGCCGGCACATGTAAATGACTCAAGCAGAATCTCACTTGATTGTAATTTCTGAATTGCGTTTATTTACAGCTGTCTTACCCACACTTAAATGGGTGTACATGTTTAGTGAATTTTCTTTATGGCATCTTTTCAAAGCACTCAACTTGGATTCCATGGACATAATGCCTCTGTCTTCACATGTGTATTTTCTCACAGTGAGGCTTGTCTAGTTACACAAAGCAATGACAATTATAAGCCCAACTGGAACAGTCCTCAGGCAAATGCAGCCTACCCTGGGGGTGCATACAGGGTGTGCGCATGTGCCCACCAGAGGGTGGTGGGCAGCCGGGGTGGAGGTGGACAGGACCCCCTACTGCACAGTTGGGGTCTCTGCCCTCTGCTCCAGGGGCCAAGTGCTTCCTCCTGGCAGTCCCAGGGCATCTTGCCAGGCTCACCCTGCATTGAGTCGCAGGCCTTCCAAGCCTCGCCATTTCCTACAAAGCTTGAAATGCAGTGGGAGGCATTGCTGGAGTCCTGTCTGCCTCTGGGCAGTGTCTTCTCTCTCCCAAGCGCTGAGAGTTTGTTGCCAGCCGCCTCTGCCTTCTCCTTTAGAAAGCATGACTTGGCCCTTGTTACCTCTTGGTGGTAGTGTTGACCAAGGTGCCCGCCTTCTGCTGAGATCCGGAAGGACCCATGTGGGGACATCTGAAAGGTCATCTCTCTTTGGACTCTTAGCTGAATGATCCCAGGAGACAAAATGAAGTTTTGAGTAAATTAATTCTAATGTGAAGACCGGTCTAAGTGTGGCCCAGAGCAGGGGCACCGATGGAGGCTCCAGTGCGCACACCTGTGTACTGGGAAGATGGGAACCAAGACGTGAACCAAGACGTTTTCCCTCTGCTCCCTGATGAATCTCTCTGGAAGGCTCCTGCTCTGAGCCCTGAGCTTTTCCTTTCATAGGCTGGAGATGGCCTTACCGCACAGAGGATTTGGGGGATTCTGGAGGAGCATGTGTATTCAACGCTGGCCCAAGACAGCATCAGCGCCATTCAAGTCTTCATGGGGTCAGGGCCGGATCTAGTACACAGTATGTGCTCAGCAGAAGAGAACATCTTTTTCTTTCCTTTCAACGTGGTTAAACAACTAATTTTACAGATTCAGAACAGGGGAGCCTGTTTCCTGAGAACCTCTGATTATTTATAACGCAGAAGCACCTCCTGGTTCTCCCATTCCACCTGAGTGTGGTAACTCATGAGGAATTATTTCAACAAACACTCATCACATGCCCAGGAGGTGTCACACTTCGGGGAGATGAAGACAAATGAGATGTTTATTTTAGTAAACGTGCAAATATAGGAACCCAAATAACAAATAAAATACAGAGAATAAATGAGAGATTTTGATCCTGTTTTGGGTGCAGGGAGGAGCCGATTCATCCCGAAGCGGGAAACAGGCCCCCAAGCCCTTGTGGTTGGCCTCGGTCCTTCCCGGACGAGTTCTGATTTCTCGGATGCAGCTCGGATTCTCATGTCGCCTTGGGATTCCCAAAGGTCTGCGGCTACTCCGTCTTCCAGGACCTGAATATCGACGCCTTCTGCTGTGGGGTGTTTGTGTGTTGTTCAGACACAGGAATCCTGGGTTGCTGCCACCAGCCGGCCAAGCGGCAGCACCTTCAGGGAGGTGCCAAGGCCAAGGGTGAAGCCAGAAATCGGCTCCTTCTCAGTGGCTTTAAGGAGCTTGAAACCCGAACAGCTCCAGGAGCTTCAACCTCCCTCGATGTTTTTTATGGGTTAATAAAGTAAATACCCCCTTTCAAAAAGGATGTATTTAGGAAGCTAAGCTGTTCACTTCTAAAAGTGAATGATCTCTTTTACAGAGCTTAGACGCATGTCCAGACGCCGGCTGTAAATCCTCCCTGGCTGTAAAGGACAATGTAAACAGTATGGGTGCCGTTTAAACAGTCCCCAGCGTGGCACCGGCAGCGCCATTTGAAATGCCTCCATCTTTCTAAAGAGAAACAGATGTTTGAAGAGCGGAGCTGAGCAGAAGCCATTCTTCAAACAGAAGATTAAAGCATCTGTCGGGTAAGCCTGGCCGGCGACCCTTGGTGGCCGCCTCAGCTGGGCCTGCCGGTCACGGCTTCCAGAGTGTGTGGTGGAGGTGGGTGTGGGGGTGGGCGTGGGGGGCGGGCGGAGGGGAAGGAGGGAGCCGAGTGCTGATGCCCAGGCCTCTCGGCTGCTCCTCATTTCCAGAGTCGGAGTCACAGTGGCCCATGGCCATCGACATCCCGCCGGCCTGTCTGCTGTGCCACCGGCCCACCGGGGGTCCTGGTCACGTTCCTGGAGCCTTCCCTGAATGTTGTCCTTCTTATCCTTGGCAGCCAGTTGGCACCGAGGCCCTGGTCGAGGTGCATGCCTGGCTGGGTCTCGGTGTCCCTGCCCTGTGTCAGGCCCTCCAGCGTCACTTCCTCCCCCACACCCTCCATCCAGGATCCACTTTTCGAAAGGCTGGGGGGCATACCATGCACAGCGTTCCTGGGATTCACGGGGAAATGAATGTGCTAATCTAGAACTAAGAAAGGAGAAACATCACCCCTGCTTTGCGGTTCAGTAAGAATTCCAAAATTCCGATGGAAGAAAGGGGATCAGAATAGACGTTTGCAGGGGCTGCCTAGGGTTGAAGAGTCCCTTCTTTTTGCTTTCTCTTGTCCCTTCCCCAAATAGGTCCATGATAGGAAAAATTCTTCCTGTGCAGAACTTCGTGAGCTTGGGGCACAGAGGAGCAAATCTGCATAAGAGTGACCTCCGAGGATGGTCATGCAAGAGGGAGGCGGGCAGGGGAGGGTGTGGAGGGGGGAGATGGGCAGGGGAGGGTGTGGAGGGGGGAGATGGGCAGGGGAGGGTGTGGAGGGGGGAGATGGGCAGGGGAGGGTGGTGGAGGGGGAGATGGGCAGGGGAGGGTGTGAGTGGGGAGATGGGCAGGGGAGGGTGTGGAGGGGGAGGCAGGCAGGGGAGGGTGTGGATGGGGAGGCAGACGGGAGGGCATGGAGGGGGGAGATGGGCAGGGGAGGGTGTGGCTGGGGGAGATGGGCAGGGGAGGGTGTGGGGGGGAGATGAGCAGGGATGGGTGTGGATGGGGGAGATGGTCAGGGGAGGGTGTGGAGGGGGAGATGGGCAGGGGAGGGCGTGGAGGGGGGAGATGGGCAGGGAAAGATGTGGAGGGGGGATATGGGCAGGGGAGGGTGTGGAGAGGGGAGATGGGCAGGGAGGGTGTTGGGGGGAAGGCGGGCAGGGGAGGGTGTGGAGGGGGGAGATGGGCAGGGGAGGGTGTGAGTGGGGAGATGGGCAGGGGAGGGTGTGGAGGGGGGGAGATGGTCAGGGGAGGGTGTTGGAGGGGGAGGCGGAGGGGAGGGGTGTGGAGGGGGGAGATGGGCAGGGGAGGGTGTGGAGGGGGAGATGGGCAGGGATGGGTGTGGATGGGGGAGATGGTCAGGGGAGGGTGTGGAGGGGGGAGATGGTCAGGGGAGGGTGTGGAGGGGGAGATGGGCAGGGGAGGGTGTGGTGGAGGGGGAGGCAGACAGGGGAGGGCGTGGAGGGGGAGATGGGCAGGGGAGGGTGTGGAGGGGGGGAGGATGGGTCAGGGGAGGGTGTGGAGGGGGAGATGGGCAGGGGAGGGTGTGGAGGGGGGAGATGGGCAAGGGAGGGTGTTGGGGGGAAGGCGGGCAGGGGAGGGTGTGGAGGGGGGAGATGGGCAGGGGAGGGTGTGGAGGGGGGAGGGCAGGGGAGGGTTGAGGGGCAGGGGAGGGTGTGGAGGGGGTAGATGGGCAGGGGAGGGTGTGGAGGGGGGATGGGCAGGGGAGGGTGTGGCTGGGGGAGATGGGCAGGGGAGCGTGTGGAGGGGAAGCTGTGAGGGAGAGGGTGTGGAGGGGAGGATATGGGGGGAGGGCATGGAAGAGGGTGACGGGCAGGAAAGGACATGGAAGGAAGGGCGTGGAGGAGGGAGATGAGCAGGGAGGAGGTGGAGAGGAGGACATTCAGGGCGGGAAGTGGAAGAAGGAGTTGGGTGAGGGAGGACATGGAGGGGAGGACATGGAGGAGGACAGGGATTAGGGAGAAGGAGGAAGGGCAAGGAGGATGAGCATGGAGGACAAAAATGGAGCAGAGTCATGAAGGAAAGACAAGGAAAGGGTGTCTCTTACTGTGAGCGTTAGAGTGTGTGTCTCCGTCACTGTGAGTGTTGTGGGGAGGGTTTCCATCACACTGGGTCCCGTGGGGAGGGTCTCCGTCACTGTGGGTCCCGTGGGGAGGGTCTCCGTCACTGTGGGTCCCGTGGGGAGGGTCTCCGTCACTGTGGGTCCCGTGGGGAGGGTCTCCGTCACTGTGGGTCCCGTGGGGAGGGTCTCCGTTATGGTAGGTCCCGTGGGGAGGGTGTCCGTTATGGTGGGTCCCGTGGGAGGGTCTCCATCACTGTCAGTGCCATGGGGAGGGTCTCCGTCACTGTGGGTCCCGTGGGGAGGGTCCCCGTCACTGTGGGTCCCGTGGGGAGGGTCTCCGTTATGGTGGGTCCCGTGGGGAGGGTCTCCATCACTGTGAGTGCCATGGGGAGGGTCTCCGTCACTGTGGGTCCCTTGGGGAGGGCCTCCGTCACTGTGTCACGTGTAGGGTCTCCGTCACTGTGAGTATTAGTGTGTGTCCCCATCACTGTGAGTGTGGTGGAGAGGGTCTCTTTCACCATGAGCACCTTTGTGTGTGTGTGCAATTCTTTTGGCATAATCTTGCATATTTTACTTCTAATTACTCTTTTCTTTGATTAAGAACTTTCCTGAGCTGCTGTCTGTGACCTGGCTTGTTTGTGGCTTCCACTGTTTCCGTGTCTGTTTTTTTGAATCTGTGGTTCAGTGTCCTGAGGGAGATGGCTCATTTGGTTAGGTGGCTTGTGTGGCCTGCAGTGCACACTCTCAGCTCCCCTGGGCTCAGCTCCTCTTTCTTCAGGGAAGGGATCACCCCTCTGTGTCTGCTGGGCTCTTCCTACCCTCTAATTCTGGACGTTCCTCCCCTTCCTTTTAAACAGCACCTCGGAAGCATGAGGATGGCCTCCTGGAGGCTGGAGTGGAAGGATTACGTCCTTGGCCAGAAATGCCTCCTTCCTGAGCTGCTGGGCCCCTCCTGTTGTGGGGTGCCATCCTGCCTGTGGCCCAGGGCTGGGCTCCTTGTTGTGTCTGGGAAGCTGGGGGCTGCCCCCATGTGTGCTTCAGATGCAAAGAAGAGGGCCTCGGTCTGAAGGACAGTGAGTTTACAGGAACCAGCCAGCTGACGGGGCCGCGTTCTGTGGCATGGGGGGCCCTCTGTGCTCTGAACCTAGTCTTCATGGAAGAAGAGAATTCGGGTGGTTCTGAGCAATTGGGGCCCTCTCTCTGTACCACATTCATCTGACCATATTCTCCGCTGTACGTTGATCCCAGGCAGAAGACGTTCAGGTCCCCTGACCCTGCAGGATGGTGTGGGGCCCTCCAGCCATGTCTCTCTGTCCCTCGGCTGGCACTGGCCCTGTTCTGTGTCAGTGGCTACCGGCTGCATCTGTGGCTTTGCAGGAAATGGGGCTGAACCATGTCTTATGGGATCCAAAGCTTCTGTTATTTTGTGTGTGTCATAAGCCTGTATTTTGGTAGACAAAGACACAGAAGTCATGTCAATGCACTCCTTTCCCCTCTGCTTTAGGGATTCGTGCTGTGGTGCCATTTTATTTTCCACACCCTCCTGTGCCCGCTCTGGCTGATGCTACCCACACCGCCCCAGTGGCCGCTGTCCACGCCTCGAGTTTGGCCTCTAGCTCTTGAGATTGTGGCCACAGCCATCCAAATAGCCTCCCCTCCGTGTAACTGTCAAGGAGAGAGAGGCCACCTTAGGTGCTTCAAAGAACCTTCCCTGAGTGAGGAACCAGCCACACAGGTGTCCAGATGCGGAGGTCCTGTGGCCTGGGGGAGGGTGGCTGCAGGGCCACCCTCAGGGCCACACCCATGACACTGCCACCAGCCGCACAAACAGGCCTGGGCATTTTTCGCTTGCCCACCTGTGTGGCATCTCTGTTGGCAGAACTGGCTTCGAATGCCACTGTCAGAGGGCGTGGGGTCTGGACGCCTCCAGTCAGGGGCCCCATGGTCCTGGTGGGTGGCTTCTTCCCCATGTCACCCCATCTTCTCGTTCTCCAGGGAGGCGTTGTGGCAGGGCCCTCGCTGGCACACTCCACCCGCACAGCAGCCTCCGGTGTCAGCGCAGAGCCTCCTCGACTCACTGTGGGATTCCCTCTGGTTTTCCGTCCATACTTTCCATGTGTTTCTCTGGCCAGTTCTCAATATGGGGCTCCAGACATGTTCAAGGGTCCACAGGGCACAACGACTCAACGCATCCAAGCAGAAACCTGCAAATTCCCACGCCCCCAGGCCCTCTCCTCTCTGGCCTGGAGAACTGTGGGCTCTGCCTCTTCTCTGTGAGGGCTTGCCCAAATGACACTCACTTTCTGCTCTGGGGCACCAGTGAGCTCCCCAAGCAAGAGTCGGATCACGTTGATCCCTGACTTCGTCCCTTCCATAGACCACCATTGTTGTTACGATAAATTCAGCCCACCTGCAGCAATGGCCTCCCTCCCACCCGTCCAGCTCACCTCTGAGCGGTCCCTGTGGCCTCCCTGCCCGTGTGTACAGTACCCCATGGTTCTCCTTCACGTTCATCCAGCTCACCCTGGGCAGCTTCCTGGCCTCTGCGCGCTGGCCACACTGAGCCTCCTTCATCTCTCAACTCTGCATGCCCTTTCCTGGCCCTCATCTTGGTCTGGATGGCCCTTCTCACTGACGTCTCATTTCATTTGTGCTAAGAAACCACTTTCTCCAGTGAACCTGGCTTGGCCCCCTGTTTTGAGGGTGTGTTGCTCCCTGTGAGTGCCTGCCCACCCCCCCACTGCTCCTGTGCCGCCCCTCACCACGGAGTCATCGTGCCCTGCCATGGCTTTGGGCTGCCTGTGCCCTCCACAGACAGGCAGCACCTGTGAGGCTCTGTTTCGCCCTCAGCGCTGCACAGACACCCGGCTCGTGGCGCTCAGCAGGTGGTCGGTAAGTTCTGAGTGTGAAGCTCGGAAATGAATGAGTGAATGAATGGGAGGGGCCGGTCGCTGAGAATCCTGTTTCCTGGAAGAATAACGGTGTTGTTTGTTCTGAGGAGACCAGGCCAAGATGCTCAGCTCGGTGTCACCTTCTCCGTGAGGTTTCCCTCGAGCTCCTGGACTGAGCCGAGTGCTCTCCCCGCAGGGCTCTCAGAGGATTCACAGACGCCTCAAGCCCTTTCAACTTGACTTGTGCAGCAAAAATCTGTACTGTCCTTCATCAGTGTCATGGATCTTCGTGCCCGTCATGTCTGTGACTTGTCCCCTCTCCCTGCACCCATCATTTGTGTGTTTTTCTCTGGTGTGTCTATTGCCACTGTCCCATCTCTGTGACTCCTCAGCTGTAGTCTAGCTGTGTGAAACCACATACTCTCCTTCCCTGAGAGTTTCTTACTCATTCTCGAGCCGTCTCGTCTCCCCTACAAGGGAGATACCCAGTGAATGCTTATGCGTGACAATCGCCCACATCCCGTGATTCGCTGTGTTTGGGGCTGTCACGTGGGAGAGGAACTCTGTCCCAGTCTGTCAGCCAGGGTCTGCAGGTAGAAACAACAGGGATGTCCAGCTGGCAGCAAGCTCCAGAGACGGAGTGAGTTTCTTCAGGAGCAGCAGCTGACCTGCCAGGCTGGGTGTGGAGGAGGCCGCCATCTTCATTTTCCAGGCAAGGGAGCTCAGGCCAGTGTGGGGTGGCAGCCGGTGACTCCAGAAAGCGCCCCACCCTCTGCGGAGCTCCCCACTTCCCCCGTGGGAGCTGCTCCGGCCTCTCCTTCCTCGGAGGAAGGCATCGGTCTGGCGCTCTCAGAAAAGAGCTCCCGAGTCCGGCTACCTGTCAGGCCTGGCCCCAGCCCCGGGCTCACCTGGTGCAGGCATCTTCTGGAAGCCGAATTTCCTGCTCCAGGTCGCTCTGCTGAGGCCCTGAGGGGAGCACAGCTCCGGTCTTTGAGGCGACAGAAGAGGCTAACAATGGGGGGAAGTGCCTCACTGACCTGCTTTCTTTCCCAGTTATCGCTAAGAAAACAGGCTCCAGGGAAGCCGGGTTATCTCTCAAAGGCTGCGTGGAGTGGGGGATGAGGGTGTCTGCTCTCCTGGAAATGCTGAGGCCTGGCCTCTGCCCCAGGGTGAGCCACGGGCAGGGCTGCAGGCTGAGCGTGCAGGGGATTTCCCTTCACGTTGAGAGTGGAGTTTGCATTTTATTTCCAGCCATGAGGACCCTCTTCTGACCTCAGGGAAGATCATGCTTTTTTCTCTCCCATCCTGACACCTTCCTATAGCCTGGCTCCCATTTCATCTGGTCACGGACTGGGGACTCGGTGCTTAGTGTGTGGATGGACCCGGGACTTGGTGAAAACGTGACTCTCAGGTCCTGCCCTTCCTCCAAACTCCCTGACAAACTTGATCCAAACAACCTCTATGTCCCCAGAAGATTTGTGTTTGAAGCCCCTCCCCGATTCCCTGGGCTTCGGTGGTGAAATCCTATAGATTACAGCACCAGGGCCTGGGTAAGCCTCCTGGGCATGGCGGTCGGGCAAGTTGGGGCTGAGGGTAATGTTGGGGTGATAATGATGATGGGGTAACAGTGATGTTGGGATGATGATTATAGGGGTAACAGTGATGGGGTGATGATGGGGTGATAGTGGTGTTGGGGTGATGATGGTAATGATGATGGGGTGACTGATGTTGGGGTGATGATTATAGGGGTGACAGTGATGGGGTGATGATGGGGTGACAGTGGTGTTGGGGTGATGATGATGATGGGGTGACAGTGGAGTTGGGGTGACAGTGATATTGCAGTGATGATGACAGTGGGGTGACAGTGATGTTGGGGTGATGGTGGGGTGACAGTGATGTTGGGGTGATGATGATGGGGTGACAGTGATGTTGGGGTGATGATGGGGTGACAGTGATGTTGGGGTGATGTTTATAGGGGTGACAGTGATGGGGTGATGATGGGGTGACAGTGATGTTGGGGTGATGATGATGATGGAGTGACAGTGATCTTGAAGGTGATGATGATGGGGTGACACTGATGTTGGGGTGATGATGATGATGGGGTGACAGTGATGTTGGGGTGACAATAGTAATGGGGGTTTATGGAGATGATGGCAGTGGTGATGATGGGGCCGATGGTGATGAGGAGGAGTTAAGGATGATTATGGGTGGAGGATGGTGATGATGTGTGAGTGGCAGTGATGACAGGCATGATGATGATGATGGGGCTGATGGTGAAGGTGGTGATGATGGGGTGAAGGTGATGATGGGTGTGATGATGGGGGTGATGATGGTGACGAAGGTGGTGGTGGGTGATGAAGGTGGTGGTGGGTGATGATGGAGATGACAGTGATGATGGGGTGATGGTGATGGGGTGACAGTGATGATGGTGATGGTGGGTGATGATGGGGTGATGGTAATGAAGGTGATGTTGGGTGATGATGGAGGTGACAGTGATGATGGGGTGATGTGATGGGGTGACTGACGATGAAGGTTATGGTGGGTGATGATGGGGTGGCAGTGATAATAAAGGTGATGATGCTGATGGGGGTGGTGATGATGAAGGTGATGGTGGGTGATGATGGGGGTGGCAGTGATGATGGGGTGATGAGGGTGACAGTGATGATGAAGGTGATGATGATGATGATGGGGTGATGGTGAGGGTGGTGGTGGGTGATGATGGGGTGATGGTGATGATGGAGTGATGATGATAATGGAGGTGACGGGGTGATGGGGAGGTGAGGGTGTAGGGACTCCCACCCACAGGGGAAGGAACATCTGGTCTGAGGCCCACACATTCCAGGGGTTTTATTAAGTGTTGCTTCAATACAGTGAGGTAAATGCTCGGGTCCCAAGGCACCAAGACCTGGTCCTCTGTGCCTTACCTGGTTGCCCTGAGGCCACCTGCTGCCATCCACCCGAGCAGCTGGCCTGGCTTGCCTGCTTCACAGGGTTCCTCATCGCTCAGGCAAGATGAGTGGCATGGACTCCATAAATAAATAGCATAAAACTGAACCCCGTAGGAGGCCTGCAAAGCCCTTGGGGTCTGGACCTGGCTCCCCACCCCCGTCTATAGTCACATGGGCCTTTTCTGAGGCTGGGACACCACAAACGCACTCCTACCCCACGGCCTTTGTGCTGCTGCCCCCTTGCAATGCTCAGCCACAGTGTCCCGTGGCCAGCGCTGTGCATGCCCCATAGCTCCCTGCTCTGGGGCCACTTTGTCAGGGTCCTTCCTTCATCAACTTGAGACACTTCAGAAACACAGAACAGAAGGTTTTAGGCACATACATGTCCTGGCTCCATAAGCATTCGATGTGGAATTCCTGGTGGACACTTCCTGAAATGAGGGCGCGGTTTTACTTAGTACCTTCCAATCTTTGGTGACTTCAGACTCTCGTAGGAGCCAGGAGGCGGCGTCAGGTCTGAGGTGGAACCAGTGCGGTCCCTAGCAGCTCTCCTCACACGGGTCTCCCAAGTCATTCTTCCAGCCTGCAACGTGGTACAAAGGTAGGAGCCATCCCAAAGGATGAACGGAAGTAACATGAGGAGCCCTTAGCGTGGATCCCCGCACGGAGGGCGGGAGCTGTGAACTCTGTCTGTAGCCACGTGTTCCGGACGACGTGCTGTGATCGCTGGGAGGGGCAGGGGCGGGTGCTGAAGCATCCGTGGCCTCCGTCTGGTGAGCCACCTGCACCTCCTGCTCCCTCGGGCCTGGTCCTTCCCTGGGCCTCGGCTTCACTGAGAGTGCTTCCCGCTCATCCGGGCGTCCGCGTCCCGCGCGGAGGTCCTCATGACAGTGAGGACTTTCACCTGATGTCCTGTAAACTGCAGTTCCCATAGTCCTAGAGCAGTGCCTGGCATGTCGTGGGTTCAATAAACAATCATTGAATGGATGAGTGATTGGATCAATGAAGAGATAAAACGTCCTAAGCCAAAGCCACGTCAGTGCAGCCTTGGAGTGAGGGTCAGGGAGGTTCTGCACGCCCTGAACCCTGCTCTTAGGGGGCAACATCTCTTTTGAGTCTCAGTTTTCTTGGGGGGTTAATAATTCCTCCAGAACATTATTGGGGGGGCATTGGGGAGCATTAGCTTGTGGATGGAAGTGTTTCTTGAGTGGAGCAGCTGGAGGAATCCTGAGATGGCCCATGACTGCGGCCCTGATTGCCCGTGCTCCCTCCCGCCCCACCCCCTGGCTGTTCACCAGGAATCCAGGAAAGCTGGAAGGGATTGTTATGGGGTTAAGGCCCCAAAGCAGTCAACCTTATGATAGGGAGATGATCGGGGGGCTCAGACCCTCTAAAATCGATTTTCTCCCACTGCAGGCAGGCGGCCTCTGCAGCTGAGAGTAAGAAGGAACACAGGGACCTCTGTCCTGCAACAAAACTCCCGCAGCAACTGGGAGCTGAAAAGTGGCTCTCAGCCCCAGACATCTCATGGACCTGGCTGAGACCACGAATTCAGCCTGCTGAGACCCGAGAGTGAAGTCACATCGTACCGAGGCCGCGGACCTGCGGAGATGGGGCTGAGGGTTGGTGCTGCTCTGAGCTCCTGTGCTCATGGGAACTGGTTACACAGCAACAGGAAATCGGTGCAGACAGAAGACACTGTCTCAAGCACGCTCATGGAGACCCAGACCCTGCCACATTCCCGCCGCAGGAACAAGACACACTTGGTTCTCATGAGCACCTGGGCCTCCACCAAAGCAAGCCTTGATTCCACACAAGAGGAAAATCTCATTATTCAGGCTCTGGCTGTTTGGGTTCAGGATAATTGTGTTTGTTGTACTGAATTTCTTAACAGAAATTTAATGACCAATTTCCCTGTTTTGAATTCATTCGTCAGGGCAAAGGGAGGCTGCTGTAACAAGGAGACCCCACTGCACAGTCGTTTAAAACCCAGGCCTGCGCCTGCCTCCTCCTGCAGGTGTGCGGGGCGGCGGGGCGCCAGGCAGGCGGGAGCGCTCTCTGCTCTCCGGGCCTGGTTCGGCAGGATAGCGGGAAGTGAAATGAAGAAGGTGATGCGTTCCGCTGAGGGCACCTTCTCCTGGGCATTAAAGCAAGGCCCTCAGATGTCTACACACAGACGGCGGGGGCACCTGGAGGCCCGTCTGGAGTGAGTTCTATAATGAACTGTGTGGTCAGACAGCTGGAGCAGGACGGGCAGGGCCAGCACAGCGTGTGCTCGGTGAGAGGGGAGGGCTTCAGTGCTGGGCGGGCAGCCTCCTGGGGGACTTGGCTGTGGTGGGCCATCCTGGGGAGTGCTTGTGTCTGCCACTGGCTCTGCCACCTGCCAAGCGTCTGATCTGAGGCCAGGTGGTGCTTTTTGGGCTTCAGTGTCTTCACCCACAAAATGGGATGGTGAGACCACCCCTGCCTGCCAGGGTTGTAAGTGGACAGACCTCAGAAGGTTGCCTGGCACATGCCGAGCATGCCCCAAATCAGCACCCGGGGCAGTGCTGCTCACCGGAAGCCGCAGGATCCCGCACACGGATCTTCTAGTTCAGTCGGTGACCATCTGAAGGAGCACGGGCCCAGGGCTGCGAATTCGGAACGCGGGTTATCCCCACAGGGACGGCGGCAGAGTGCCTGCTTATTAGCGGCCTTGGCCAATGTGCAATTCATCCTGGTGCTCACCCAAACAGGCTGCAAACCGAGACAAACGCCCTTGGAGGGCATCGCCTGTGACTTGGAACCTTTTCCTGGTGGTTTCCGCACTGAGGAAAGAAAAAAGAAGACCGCGAAATGTTGCTGATGGAAAAAGTTTGTGTGTGCAGCTGATGGCAGATGCTGGGTTTTGGCAGCCTGACAGGGAAGCCTCTGCCAATCTGCGCTGGTCAGTCAGCTGCCCGGGAGGTGCAGGGTGTGGGGGTCTGTCCTGGTCACTCAGCTACCTGGGAGGCCCAGGGCATGGGGGTCTACGCTGGTCACTCAACTGCCCGGGAGGCCTAGGGCGTAGGGGTCTGCGCTGGTCACTCAGCTGCTCAGGAGGCCCAGGATGTGGATGTCTGTGCTGGTTATTCATGTGCTTAGGAGGCCCAGGGCGTGGGGATCTGTGCCGGTGACTCTGTCGAAGCTCTTCTTTTCAATTTGGGGGATGTGAGGCTCTGCCCTACCTCCCGGCCTTGTTCTAGCTGTTGACGGAATGACTAGGTTGGAAAAACAGGCAGAGTACTTTAGGCAACTTTCATGGGAAAAGAGAGGCTCATTTTCTCCCACACCCCATGGAACCAATTCCTTTGAAATATTAAGAGCAGACGTCGAGAAGGGAAGAGAGCTGTGCTTTCTTCCTTGCTCCAAAAATCACTTTTCATCCCCGTCCAGGTTTGGGGAGCTCTCCTAGGTATTGGAAAGGCAGTGGTGAGAACACGCAGCTCCTGGCGTCCTGGAGAGGAACCTCCAGCCAGAGAAGCCAGCATGCACAGGACACACTCACCACACCACCATGGAGCTAACCGAGGCAGGAAACGCACAGGTGGGTTCCAGCACGCAGCTCGGCAACGGGGGGCACAGTGAAGACCTCATTCCTCTTGTTTGTCTCATGTAACAATGAGGAAAACAGAGCCCTAGGAGAGGTGACTTGCCTGCACCTGGGGGGCAGCAGGGCAGAGTCAGAGGTGGCCCTGATGCTGGTGCCTGGCTCTGCCAGGCTGAGGCTACCTCTGCTGGGGTCCCGGCCCCTGGGTGAGGGGGATGGATGTGAAACACCTTCGTGGGCTTTAAATACTTTTTAAAAAGAGAAAATCCTGCAAGCTATGTGTTACTCATCAGCATTTTAAAGTGAGGTACCTGAAATTCACGAGAGAAGTCATTTGCCTGAGATCTGCTTGTGCTGGGCGTCTTCATTCACAAACGGCCTCAGGAAAACATTTTGCTCCCTGTACCTTCTATCCTGAGGTGCTTCCAACAGGGCCAACAGATTCTGACTTCCGCACTAACAACTCCTGCTCCTGAGGGATGAATTTGAACACTCTGCAGAGGCCTCTGTCCGGCTGATTGACCTGGGGTCTGGAAGAAGACGGGCAGGGGCAGGCTGTGGCCTCGCTGTTGGCAGGCGTGTTTCTGGGTGGAAAAGCTGCACTGCAGACGCCCCACACTGGGAGTCAGGAGTTCTGAGGAAGAAGAACTTCACTGGGACAGCATGTGGGGGCCTGGCCTGCAGGGGTCCCAACCCACCACAGAGAGGCCTCGGCATTGCTTCCAGGCCCTGCTCCAAGGTGGCTCTAGGGCTGCACCTGCAAATGCACCCTGGCCTCAGGAAAGACCATATCGTCTCTGCAGATGACCTGGGCTGTCCCCTCCACTGGGTCAGAGACACTGTTCTCTACAGAGGATGTGCAGGGAAGGAAAGGCTTTGGGAAGGTCCCAAAGTCTGGACTCAAGCCAGGCCAATCATCCTACAGAGACAGGAAACCCAGAGCTTCCTACAGCGAATCAAAATTCCAGGGAAGGGGAGACCTCTAGTCCATAGAGCACACACTTGCACATGCACACACATGCACACACACCTGCATCTGTATACACATACCTGCCCACACACACATACACACATGTGCACACACCTACATACCTGCATACACATGCACATGCATACACCACACACCTGCAGACACATCCTTGTATACACACATGCACATGCACACATATGCATACACACACCTGCACCTGCACACACACATGCACACATGTGCACACACATACATACCTGCATACACTTGCAGACACACTCCTGTCTACACATGTGCACATGCACACATATGCACACACACACCTGCACACACACACGCACACCCTGCACATCCTCTGTAGAGGACACACCTACACACCTGCATACACATGCACATGCATACACCACACACCTGCAGACACACTCCTGTATATGCACACACACCTGCACATACACACAGGTGCACACACCTGCATAACTGCATACAGATGCACATGCATACACCACACACATCTGCACACACACTTCTGTATACACACATGCACATGCCCACACATGCATGTGCACATACCTGCATATCCACACACACGTGCAACAGTGCACACCTGCAGCACACCTGCACACACACGTGCACACCTGCAAGACACATGCACACATGCCTGCACATGCACACACCTGCACACCTGTGCACACACCTGCACACCTGCATTCACATGCACATGCACACATGTATGCACACACAAAAACTAAAGAAGACGCTGTTTTCTGGCTTCATTTTATTGGTCTCCACGTGGCACAGACATGCTTGTACATGGAGGCCTCACTGCACAAAGGTGAGAAGGAGACATTGGCCCATGGAGTGACATGAGTACAGCTGTAGGCCGGGGGCACAGGGCACAGGGGTGTGTGTGCCAGGAAGGATGGCTGGGTCCGATCTGGGGCTCTTGGAGGTTGAGGGATGTGGACTTTCCCTAGAGGGTAGAGGGGAGGGCCTCTGGGTGCTGGTGTGATGGTTTTGGAAATTTAGATGTGACTCAGGAGCGACTGCTGTACTAGATCCCAGCTGAACCGAGGCTGGACCAGGGCAGTGGGAAGCGGTGGAGGAAGGAACATGACAGGTTCTCAGAAAGTACTGATGGGCTTTTCCTTCTCATGTCTGCCTGATGAAAGACAACGCCATCCTCAGGGGCCTCCTTGACTGAGAGTGGAGGATGTCTGGCCACCTTGGGGCTAGTCTGGGGTGCAGTGCATTTGGATGTGAACCTGCTTCCCGACTGGAAGGGGTTGGGGAGTGAGGCCAGGGAACAGGCGAGCAGTGGATGAGAACTGGACCTCTTACAGGACATTGGAGAAGCAGGGGGCAGTGTCCTGGGAGACCCCACCTGGCACTCAGTGAACACGGTACAGGGTGCCCTGGGTGCCTTGGAGGACGGAGGACAGAGGACGGAGGATAAGCCATGGTGGCCACTCTTGAGCCAAGCAGCAAAGGGTGGGGCAGGGCTGGCCATCTCCAGGGTCCCTGGGGACCAGAGCACAGAGGACCTCTTCTCTGGCCCTGAGTCCTTGTGCTAAGCAGGGATGTGTAGAGATTGGTTGACTATTTCACTAAAACTCAGCTTTATTCTCTGAACACTTGGCCAGGTAAACTCCACAATCATGGTCATTTTTGTGAGCATTGCCTGACTGAGGAATGCAGTGCTCCCGCATGTGACATGTCCTTCCCAGGCCATGGCAGCCTTCTCGCCTGGAGTGCCGTTGCAGACATGGACTCACAGCAAACACATGCATGGAGACGGGACCAAGTCAGCTTCTGAGAGAAGAATCTTCCAGAAAGTTGAGAGGTCTTCTGAGTTGAGGGCCCTGGGGGCTGTGGCAGCCCAGAGCGGGTTGTGTCCTGGAGACAGAAAGGACTGTGGTCTCAGCCGTTGCCAAGTCTCTGGCAACAGTGACTTGAAAAATGAAGACACTTAGCACATTAATCTAGTTTCACAGGTATATTTGGATGTGATTCTGCAGGCAGAGTCATGTAGGAACTTTTACGCTGTAACATTTCACGAACACTTACTGCAACTCTACCCTGATGAGGGGCCCCATGCTCCACCGGCCAGCAGAGCATGCATCCACGCCTCTGTCCGGCCAACCTGTGACCCACATGGGCTGTGCTCACACTTTCTCCCAAGGGACAATGACTCATTTGCAGAATGATTAACTTTTCCTAAGACTAAAATGTCCTATTCATAAATATAATTGGTCCACTTTTAAGAAAACTTTACCTGCTTTTAATTTAAGAAAGAC